ATGAGTGTATAACTGGACAATACACTGACTGGATGGCCCTGAACCTGTACACGGTAATAGTACACTGATGGGTGGCCACGAGTCTGTATGAATGGATAGTGCATGGCTGGCCATGAATCTGTATATGATAACAGTTTGAGGACAGGGTTACAATTGTATGTATGTAACCTTGAGTCTGTATAACGTAACAGCTAAAAATATTGGATAGCTATGAGTCTGTATAGACAGACAGTGCACAGACTGGATGGCCCTGAACCTGTATAAGGTAACAGTACCCCTATGAGTTCACAGGTGCACATAACCATGAGTTTGTATAAGAGATAAGTACACTTGTACTGGATGGTGCTGAGAACGTCACAGAGATTAGGTGACTAAAAATATGTACACTACAAAGAAAATAGATTCTTAATCTGTATGGAAGAGGATTGTTCAAAGACTGATTGGCTCTGAATCAGGATAAGTTAGGAACTGAAAAAGTACGAGAAAAAAATGAAAAACACAGGAACGAGATGCCTTGTATCTGTAAAAAAAAAAAAAAAAGCTAAAATGCACCATGCAGTAGCAAGACAGACTGTCCCTTAATCATAATCCATCTCCTGTACATTGTCTGAGCTGCCTTGCATCTGTACCAAGAATTAGTGATATTAATGGCCCCGATAATCTGTAGTCTTGATTAACTCTCATAGCACAACCCCTCACCAAACTGCAGTAGTATTTTAAAGCAAATTCAGTCTCATGGAAAGGAAAAAGAAAAAAAATATAGCAGGCAATCCATCCCACAGTCCTGAATATATATATATATGACAGCAGAGAGATTTGGTGGCCTTGAAACTGTATAAGGTACAAGATAATCTAACCATGTAAAGGATGATGGTCTTAGATCAAATAGATACATAAAGAGCTCTATTTTTTTTGTTTCTACCCATATCAGTATTTTTTAAATTCACCGTGTTATTAGGATTTTCTTTTTCATAAAATCTAATTTGATCCAATTAAAATTTTTGATTGTGAAAGAGATGTTCCATTCAAAGATTTATTATATCTACTTGTAAAGTGTAGACACATATGTATAGAAATTTGTTATCTGTAGTATCAAGAAAAATTTATCACACCAACCACGTCATGAATTGTTTTTCGACAGTGTGCATTTCACTGATAAAATCTAGATTTTACCTATGTGTTCCAAAACCTTTGGATTATTGATTTCTGTTGTAGCTATATATCAGTTCAATGTCCCGAAGTTCATTACTTTGAAATTGATGGTTGAAAACAAAATTGACATCGGAAACAACAACTTCAGTTTCAATCCTAAATGAACTCTTCTTAAATCAGTGTCTGTAGCATTTAGCAGCATGTTAAGCCTTAGAATATTGTGTGAAAAAGTAATTCAGATGATCATTTAGTACACATTTTGTCACAAAATCTTACTTTGTACCATATATTTCTGAAAATTAGCTACTGTCCACAAACAGTCCCCAAACAGTCCCCCATCTTCATTTAGCAGAACATCAATTTCAAAATAATACTCTAAAAATAGTTCACTAATAAGCCCACCTTAAACGCTTATTCTTAACTTTTACACAAGAGGAAAATGCTTATTTGAGGAAAAATATGGTATTAGGAACCTAATCAAGTGCCTCATTATACTCAAACTGGACTTAATATATGATGGTATCATGATGTGGCATTTATCATCAGTTTGTAGAATTGCATGAACCTTATCTTTCGAAAGAACTTCTTCTTTAGAACAATGTTGCATAGATACATTAAAGATATTTTATATCTTGGTAAGATTGGTTGTAATTAAGTCTGTCAATGGAAAACTTGACTCACTTTCAAAGCCTTGATGATCTAATAGGATGAAAATTGAAACATTATTTTGAGACAGTTGAGACCTAAAGAGCTATTTTTATGACCTAACTATATTTGACAGTGGAAGCAAAAGGATATATAGCTCTTTGCAGGCACCCTCTAACAATAAGAACTAAGTTGTCTATAAACTTTGTAAGGTCAGTGTGAAATCTTGAAATACAAAGATGTACTTTAATTTCATATCTTTAACTGTGTTTGATGAAAGAAACAGATACTATGTAATAGATGTGTTCATAGAAATTAAATTTTTGAAAATTTCATGTTATGATAACTATACATTTAAATATTGATTGATGAGGTGGAGGAAAGTTGAGTACCCTCTGCCTCAGTGGGTTACAAGTCATCACCAGTAATTTGAACCCATCAGTAAATAAAACAGGGATATCAAATCTAGAGCCCGGAGCTCGACAAGCGATTTCACTGCTTCTCAGCGGTGATAATATGTATGAGATAATTAGTCAACACCTGTCTGTAAGTATAAATTTCAGCAGCAATTTTTGTAACAGCACTGACTGTTGCTGTTAGTCAGAGCTTATGCAGGATGAATGCGCAATATACATGTATTGAGTTTCATCCTATCTGCTTGACCTTTAACCTCACTGTATCGGTATGTACATAGTCTGACAACAGTGAGTGTGGTCTACCAAGACTGATCTGGTCATGTCAACAAGCTGACCACATGTTGTAAGGTCATCTGTGACTCTCCCTGGTCAGCTTCAAGTTCTATCTGTTTCAAACTTGTTTTGTTACCAAGGTAATATTCATATCCCCATACACTGACAACTGGCAGGCACACACCCTCACGCAGACCAGAAAGAATTGAATTAATCTGGTGCACGGGTAGAGAAACCTGCTTTCCGAGTCAAAAGTAGGGTGGAGAGAAAAAAGCTAGAAAGAAATATGGAAAATTTGGTGATAAATTGCTTTTTAAGGCAAACAAAATATTGTGTGCACAATTACATATTTACATGAAGGTAACTATACATTTGACGGGGCACAATATTTTATGAATAACTGTTTATCCATCTTAACATTCATTTATATGTTACTTCCTCTTGTCTGACCTTAACTTTTGAATAGAGGCTGACTATTTTCTGAATGAATTTGTGCTGTATCAGCAAAACAAAACATCAGTATCATTTACACATGCCGAGAAACCCTTGATCTGTGATACCACTTACGATTCAGCTGTCGTCCTTTATGCATGTAATAATGTCTTCTCTAGGTTTTAGTGCATTATATTTTCATAAATATCATTAGTTTTTGTCTCTGTTGGAGCTTATGATATGATGCAGCATCCATGTCAATCATCACATCCGTTGTTCAGAACACTTCAACCTTTCTGACATTTTCTGAATTACTAAGTGGTATATGGTCCTGACAAAAGACCAGTTGTATTATTTGATAAAGTGCTATCCTTATTAATTTTTTTTCTTCAGATTTCCAGGAGGCCATTGTACATGATATTGTAAAGGTTGCTATTTCTGGAGGGCCCTTACCCAACACACCCCTTGCAAGCCTCAGTATCCTCCCTCCTATAAAAGCACCAAGTAGCCTTTTTGCCATTTTTTTGTAATTTCCGCGGCGGAGATTTTTTGCTTTGAAAATTTCAAGCTTCAGAAAAAAGTATTCATAAACATTGTTATTTTAAAATTGGGATAAACAATAGCAAGTCTTTAAAGTAGCCAGGATGGTGTGGAAGGAACACAGTAGCATGCGAAGATGAAAGATTGTTAGAAGTAAAGGACTTGCTATCACAAGGGTCAAATGTGTCCGACTTCTGAGTAGAAATCAAAATTCCCATATTTATAATATTTGACAAGTAGACTGTTTGGATGAGCGATATATGAAATTTGTCACATACTGTTGCTAAATCCTTGAGTTATGAAATTTTTTGATGCAGTAACAACGACAATTTGACATGTTCATAAAATAATATAGAAACAAAAATTATTGACATTTATCTTAATGATTGAAGTCAGAATGGAAGTCAGACATGACCAAATTGTATTACAGAAACGACAAGACTGGTGAACATTTATTGTGATAATAACACAAGTCTGATGACACCTACAGTAGTCAGACAAAATGCATTTACTGTCAAGATAATTTGAGTCAGACACTAGTCAGTAGTGTAATACAGAAACACAAGACATATAAACATTTGCTGATAACTAAAGTCAGACATGTCTATAAGATTAAAGTGCAGAAATGAGAATTAGGAATGTTTACTGTCATCATCTTGTAAGATGAGACTTTGATAGTCAAGGTGGTGATGACTAGCTTTAGATTTTAACTAAAAATAGAAATGTAAAAATTAGGAACATTTACCAGAATGAGTATGACATGACTTGTAGGCACAACTTGAATCAAATACAAATTAAGAGTAGCACAGAAACAGGAGCGTGTAAACATTTACCGTAATTAAAAAGTCAGACGAGGTTTACAGACATTTACTACAGTGAAACTTGAGTCAGTCATGGTCCATGTTTTTTAAAGTAACACCAGCCTAGTAGACTTTTATTGTAAAAGTGTAAACTAATACCATAGACTTGTAGGCATTTATCCTAATGAGAAAGTCAGAGGAGACTTGTGAACATTTACTGCATTGAAACTTGAGTCAGTCATGGCCAAAGTGTTATAAAGGAACACAGCCTTGTGGAAATTTACAATAATAATGATTAGAGTCAGGAATGATGAAAGTGTAAACCACAAAACTTGTAGGCATATACCGTAATGAGAATGTCAGCCCAGAGTTGTGAACTTACTATGATGATAACTTGAGTCACATGACCAAAGTGTACTTCAGAAACATGAGACTCGTGGACAGTGGTGATAACAAGGTAGACATGCACAGATTGAAGTAGAGGTACAGATTACGAAAGGTTAGTGTATATATGTTCAGATCACTGATCTCTAGGACATTTGTACCATTGGACAGCCACTACTAGTGACATGTACTTTGACATGGTCAGATAGCCACAAGTTTAATGTACTTCAGAGTACAAAACAAGTGTTCAACTTGTCATCAATTAATACACTTTGACTACAGCATCATATATATGTGAGGAGCATTTTTGGATTGATGTTTGCTGCGTGTGTTTTATTTTCATACTGTAGTGTCTGAAATGGTACACGACTCATACATTGTTGGTTATAATACACATCAGGTAAGTTCTTTATGATAATGTTGGGGACCTGACCCAGGGGGTCTGGTTCAGGGGAGGAGGAGGAGGGGTGGGACTGAATCCTAACCCAAGAGTTCTAGCAACACTAAGGCCTGACTAAAACATTTGATGGAGGCTGAAATATGCCTCAACAGTTACAGTAGGGATGAGGGGCAGGATCAGGTTTGATGTATGACACAAAATTTTTTCTAGAGAGGCTGAAATATGACCCAAGATTTCTAAAGAGGTTGATGTTTGACTGAAGATTTCTAGGGAAGCTGAGGTATGACCCAAGAGTTTCTAGGAAAGTTGTGGCCTGATCCAAGAGTTTTATGGAGGCTGATGTGTGTCTCAAGAGTTTGAGTAGGAGTGAGACATATAACTTAAGAGTTCTAGAGATGTTAGATATGACCGAAGGGATCTAGAGAGGTTGAGGTCTGACTGAAAAGTTCTACAGAGCCTGAGGTTTGATTTCAGAATTCTAAGGATGTATGTTTTTATTGAAGAGTTCGAGGGAGGCTGCTGCCTGATCAGAGAGATCTAGTGAGATTTAGGTATGCCTCAAGAGTTCAAGAGATGCTGATATCTGATATAAGAGTTCTAGGAAGGCTGAGGTATGTCCCAAGATTTCTATGGAGGTTGAAGTATGCCTCAAGAGTTCTAAGGATGCTGATGTCTGATATATGAGCTTTAGGGAGGCTAAGGTATGTCCCAAGATTTCTATGGAGGTTGAAGTATGCCTCAAGAGTTCTAAGGATGCTGATGTCTGATATACAAGCTTCAGGGAGGCTGAGGTATGTCCCAAGATTTCTATGGAGGTTGAAGTATGCCTCAAGAGTTCTAAGGATGCTGATGTCTGATATACGAGCTTCAGGGAGACTAAGGTATGTCCCCAAGATTTCTGTGGGGTCTTATGGCATGATCCAGGGATTCTAAAGGTATGATTTAAATTCTTATCGAAGAGTCAAGGGAAGCTAAGTTCAAGCTCAGGAGTTTTAGGGAAGTCTAAAGCTTCATCGAGGAACTTTAAGAAGGCTGAGCTCTGTCAGAAATTGTTTTGGAATGCTGGTAGGCACAGGTCGTAATAAGAGTTCTACAAGGTTCATAGGCAAAAACCTGAATGTTGCTGCTTGATATTTTCCATGAAATAAGGCAAGTTTTTCAAAACTGCTTTATTCTAAATAATTGACTGTTATAATATGGTTTCTCAGATCAAATAAGAGTTTACCTGTAAGTATAACAAAATCCAAAACTATATAGGTCTATGACAAACTGTTCTGTTTGCCTCCCAGATCCAGGAGGACAATGGTGATTGTGACAGTCCTGACAAGACAAGTAGATCCCCAGACAGTCCCAGCCTCTTTATAATGTCATCTGATAAACAGTGTATCCTTGATGACACTGACCAGGAACTGCAGCATGCTAGTACCATGTCAACGGGATCTAACTCGTCAACGACGACAAGTTGTGTCAGAGTGGACGTAGGTATTTTACACATTTTAATGACATTATTCATACTTCATGCACTAGTAATTTATTGCAAATTTTTGTTTTTTGAGTTTGAAATTCATTTGCAAACCTGATTCATAAATTTGAAATATTGATTTTTTTTTTTTGCACATTTTGTTTAATTTTATCATTCTTTGTTTAATCTTAATACTGGTAGTTTTTTTTTTTTAAATAAGAATTTCGTAAATAAATTCACTGCTACCTAGTTCTTTAATTTCCATTTTAGGCTATTTTTTCTAACTATACATTGTTATCTGATATGTCTATTTCATAGTGATACACTACACATATTTAACAGGAAGGTATGAAGTACAAGGGTATGAGTACAAACCTTGACTTTTAAGCTGCGTGATTTAACCTTCAGTTTAACACACCAGCTGTGATGATGATCAGATAATGAGATATGTTCATACTTCTTTTTATATATATGTAATACTTAAAACCACACCACTGACAATGATAGAGCACTTGTTGATATTCCGAATGCAATTTATGCTTCATCTATCGTTGTTTATGATAGACATGCTTATTACCAGACATCAGCTTACTGGGTATAGTGAAGATGATAAATATTACTTTTAAGATAAATTATATACATCCATCAAATGTTGAGAATCCTTTTGATTCTCCACTTATATTATTATACATGTCTGTTAGTGTATTAAGTGCATATGAATTTTGCTTTGTATTAGTTTTCATGCGTTAAAGGAGAATGATAATAATTTGAGGAAATGTCTTGAACAACTGTAATTATCTCGGGTTTTGACGTAAATTTAAACTGATAAAATCTAAATTTGCATATCATTTTTTACAGTGAAAAATGTCTTTCCTGACATAATTGTCATAAAACACCAATTTGTATAAGTTATTTTCTAATCAGTACATGGATAGTCTAAAGTCAGTTTTGATTTTTTTGAGATTTTATAAGATGGTGTTTTAAAATTTTAGTTTTTAGTAATGACTATTTCAATGAAAACTAGGTATTCACGGGTAATTCATAGACAGAAGAATGCAAGAAAAGGATTTTAACTGGATGAAGAGTAGAAAAATTGAGGTTCATGTATTAGAATTGTACCTAAAATCTGTTTATTTTTGCAAATATTTCTTCACATCATTTGCTTGTTTTGTTATCAGATAGGAGACATGGATGGCGAGGAAAGTATGAACCTGACAACCACCTCCCTAAAGCTATGTAAGAGACAGGTATTACGGCCATACTGGAGACTCCTCATGTTTGTAAGTCACTGTATCTATTGTTTAATACGATGTCCTAATAACCCTGTACATCCTAGGATCCATGTACATCCTAGGATCCTTGTACGATAGTATAAAGTATTGTATTATCTCTAATGTATTGGTGTAAATAGTACTTCCTATAGAGAAACTTGTGATAAAAGATATCTGAAGATAAAGTAAGGATGACGTTGACCTTGGATCAAATGATTCAACCATATCATTGAAAAGATATTCTTGTTATACAAAAGATATTTTATCAAATATAAAAATACTTTCAAAGGCTTAATTGATCACTTGTCAAGGTCACACGGTCATATGACTTAAATATAAGTTTTTCTAAATTAAATGCATAGAATGTCAATCTAAATTGTGTAGTTGTCACTTTGACATGTTCCATAACATCTTTTTTTTGCCACTTTTATTTCTGATTCAGCAAACGTTTTGATTGGTGGTATATTCACATAATTAAAATATTTAAAACTAATTAAAGAAATCGGGTCACCTTGTGTAAGATATTTTCTGTGTATTTACAAGATGAATTTTTTTTTATAAGTTTTTGAAAAGAAGCTGCCTTCTTTATTTCATTATATGCTTTTACTTTAACAGATTGGATGGCGGGGTTTTGGTCGTGAATCAATAAACTCTGGACACCGTGGCTGGTATTATCTGAACATTTTTTACCCAGTGTTCATAGTGATACTTCTGTTGTATACATATGTCTATGAGGTAGTAGCTTGTCAGTGGAAACTCAACATCCACAAGGATACTCAGGTAGGTACTAAAGGAAGTTCTGTGTACATAAAACACACACAAACAACTTACCTTAGTCCTAGTAAGGTTTTACATGTATTACATTGAATAATTCTATCTAATGGTGCAATCAGAAATTGGCATATCCACAATAAATACCTTTCATGTAACTCTGATGTAGCACTAGGATTTTAACCTCAACAGTGAGAAAATAAATTTGCTGTTAGAAATGTGTTGGGTAATTTCATCTCAAGTATTTTTTAGTTATTGCTGCTGAATTTTTTCCGCTTTTGAAATTAATATTTATATGTGATATGAAATGTGGAGGAAAAAAAAACTTTTTAACTGAAGGTCATCGAGTGATCAAGTAACACTTTCAGGCACTTCAACTTAAATAAATGTGAGTTGAAACTAGTCTTTTTACTATTCATAAGAGATCCATACTGTAATCAGTAATCCTTATTATTAGTTCAACATGAAAATTCTGAAAGATATTGGAGAGGCTGCATTACAGTAGGTTAAATGTTTTTTTCTTTCAGTTCGTGCCTACAACAACATTACCACCGTTTACAACAACGGTGTCCAATACAACGCCACCAGTCATACATGAAATGACTTTCTCGCCTGCGGAGAGCATCATCCCCGCCATGAATCTCACAAAAAAACACCATGCCCACTCCCACCCTCCAGAGGCATGTGAACACATCATTACCACATATGTCATCCCCAATGTACTGCACTTCATCGCCTTCATTATGGGCATGTATCATTTTCGTATACAGGAAAATGAGCAGCTGTATGCACTTATGGAAAAAGTGAGTCGTGTTTTGATATACATATATGTTTAGCTCAAATAATGTTACATCCCGTCATTGATTCCAAATTTGAGCTTAAGATTTATTTATTTTATTATTTATTTAGATATGAATTATATTTCTCTAAATTATTTAGTGAGATCTGAACTAACGTTATTGAATTAAATATTTGATGTATTTTTGATTTGCATCAATATCCAATGTATATGAACACAAAGTTAAATCTGGTATAGATGTACGTCAAAAGGGAGCTGAGAAAATTTTTATACAGGGAACCTTCATATACAGGTTCAAGTCCTATCTAATGAATTACACCAAATCCAAAACAAGCGGTCTTTATAGACAGGTGGTCTTAACATAGAAGTGGTCTTTTAGATGTGGTTGATGGTACCTCATACTTACTCATTGGTCTGCCTAACTGCCAGAATAATAATTAGATGTATGTATGTTTTGTCCTGCTGTGTCCAAGTTATGATCTACCATGTATCCAGCTATCTTTGTGGAGATAATATTTTTACCGTCTCGAGGAACATAAAACTGACCACAAAAATTTTATCTGTGAAATAATGAGACACATGTGCATAAGATGTCCTTTGAAATTCAAATCACGGAATTTTTATTCATCGGAATCGCAAAAAAAAATTCAACATGTGAAAATTACAAGCTACATGGTATATTAATGGATTTAGGCTCTTCACATGACCTTCGAGAAATTTTCTCATTTTTTAAAACAATGCATGCTCTTGGTTACAGATAATAAAATCTGTCTCTCCATCTGTCTGTCCGTCTGTAAGTCCATCTGTATGTCCATCTGTCTGATTGTCTGTTGATGAAAGGATATATTGTGTAACACTGCTGTAGAAATTTTACTCGTGCCCTGATTGATGTGGATATCTAAATGTTTTTACTCCTACCTTTCAGTTTGTTTTTGTTTATTCTACAGGTTTTTTTACAAGCCACACCGCTCTATAACAGATCTATATCACAACAGAAAATGATCCGAAAACTGAGGTTAGTGCAGAGTTACTCCCCATGAGTATGAGTATTGTTCAGCAAATAATAATTTGATTTTAGCATGTTGATTTAAATTATTATATAGGTAAATGGATGATAACTGCCAATAACGTTCTCTATTGGAATAACTTAATCATGGATTGTCATCCACAGATATCAACTGTAGATAATTAATATGGATGCGTCTTCCATACAAAAATAACATTGGTATATAGACAAAAGTTTGGTTGTGGTGAGAAGATCTTCCTAGGGACCAAATAGACAATAGTTTGGTTGTGGTGAGAAGATCTTCATAGGGACCAAATAGACAATAGTTTGGTTGTGGTGAGAAGATCTTCAAAGGGACCAAATAGACAATAGTTTGGTTGTGGTGAGAAGATCTTCATAGGGACCAAATAGACAATAGTTTGGTTGTGGTGAGAAGATCTTCCTAGGGACCAAATAGACAATAGTTTAAAGAGACAAAAGGTAAACCTCTCACTTGAGATCTAAACAATGTATACAAGCAAAGATGTTACAAATATTTAACATATCTTTTTTATTGACTGTAATTCTTTATTTCTTTCCCGTTTACAGATTGTTCCTGGCGGTAGGGGGGATCTGGGTGGGGATCACATTGGGCATGCAAGGCCTATATGAATGGGCTTTTGACTTTCCCGCTTTGGCATTTTTCCGTAAAACAGGGTAAGTAGAGCTTAGATGTTGGAGCTTTTTAAAATCAGACTTAATCGGGAGTCCAGAGACTTAATTGGCACTTTTTGGTCATAAGGTATCAAAAAACATGATGATTTCTAGTTTTCCAAATCCAACTGATTATTCAAGATCATAAGTATCATGCGATGTACCCAATATTATATCACAGGATATTTCTGTTAGAAATGTAAGGTTCGTCAATTTATTTGAACCACTGACTTGATGATTTCATAGTTTTAACAGCACAAAATGTTATTTCATCTACAACATTGATGACATGCATTGGTCATTTCTTTGCCTGTTTATTTTGAGTTGGTTTTTATCACAGAAATGTCGTCCATTGGGTCCTGTTCTTTGTGGAACTACTTGGCATCATGGTCCTTAATTCTGTGTCACTTGCGGTCATTGCTAACTATGTGACACAGTGCGAAATGACCTTGTTCTATATACGTGGACTGGCCCTCCGACTCCAGGAGAAATCTACAGAGATTAAAGCGGCCATGAAGGTAAGAGACCAGGTGTTAAAACTCTATGACGAACTCATAAGTCAGAGTATAGGGAAAAATTATATTATAAATTGGAAATCCATCTCAAAGAGCAATGGTTTAGGATTGTATTTTAAAATTGATTGAACATGAATAAGTAATCATTGATCTGAGATAAAACATCATAGGACAACTGCATGGTTTGTAGTGATAAGAAATATTTATACATTTAATCTAATTAAATGGTGTTTTGAGATAGGCATGTTCATTAACATCCCACCATCATCCAGATAGCGAGCTGTTCAAATTGCAAATGTATGTGCCCTTTGTCGGTGGTTCTTGTTATTGCTATTACTTGAAAAGTGCTGGATGGCTCTTTCTCAGATTTCATATGAAGGTTCCGTTTTGTCCCTTGTTGTGCACAAATTATTTTGGGAATGATCAGAATAACAAAAAGGCTGACAGTCAGTCATCTTGGATTTTAACAATGAAAGTTTGTTATCACTATTTAAAAAAAGCACAGGATGTATCAAATTTCGTATGTATGTTCCCCTTTGTTCTCAAGTTGTGTACTTTTGATTTTGAAACAAATCAGAAAAAGACGGACAAGCTAGCTAAGACAACTTTCTTAAATTTGAAAATTGAAGATTATCATCACTATTTTTGTTAGAAGAATTTTCCAATTTCATATAATAAATTTTCTTTTCACAGGATTTATTTGTAGTAAAACAGAATTTGAGTTTGCTGAATGGACCCATTGCACGAATGACGTCTCTGATAGTTATGATATTTGCGGAGTTGATTATTATTGGTAATTACCTCCTCCTTGTATACATCTATCCAGCAATTATTTCTATTAATAATTCCATCCATATCTATTTCATTTCTTTAAAAACGCCCAACAAATGTTTTTAATAGTATTGTGATAATCATACTTTGTATTAGAGATTATATGTTACCTGGTTGTTGCTTTTTACAGGATAGAAAGAGTATACTAATAAGTTATAAATAAATCATTGTATAGAGATAGACCAGCAGATATAATAGTAAATCTGACAAGTTCTAGTCAGTCTCCTTGTCATAGTTATGTGTAGGAGCACAAGTCCAGTGATTATAGGGATAAAAGTGACTAAAAAATTATCAGGGCTATTCTGATTAAGCATCTAATGTACACCCTAATACTCCAGGGTTTGTTTAGGGCTAGCTGTTTCTGTAAAACATCTATCACACCCCAATACTCCAGGGTTTGTTTAGGGCTAGCTGTTTCTGTAAAACATCTATCACACCCCAATACTGCTGTTTCTGTAAAACATCTATCACACCCCAATACTCCAGGGTTTGTTATGGGCTAGCTGTTTCTGTAAAACATCTATCACACCCCAATACTCCAGGGTTTGTTTAGGGCTAGCTGTTTCTGTAAAACATCTATCACACCCCAATACTCCAGGGTTTGTTTAGGGCTAGCTGTTTCTGTAAAACATCTATCACACCCCAATACTCCAGGGTTTGTTAAGGGCTAGCTGTTTCTGTAAAACATCTATCACACCCCAATACTCCAGGGTTTGTTTAGGGCTAGCTGTTTCTGTAAAACATCTATCACACCCCAATACTCCAGGGTTTGTTTAGGGCTAGCTGTTTCTGTAAAACATCTATCACACCCCAATACTCCAGGGTTTGTTTAGGGCTAGCTGTTTCTGTATAGCTGTTTCTGTAAAACATCTATCACACCCCAATACTCCAGGGTTTGTTAAGGGCTAGCTGTTTCTGTAAAACATCTATCACACCCCAATACTCCAGGGTTTGTTTAGGGCTAGCTGTTTCTGTAAAACATCTATCACACCCCAATACTCCAGGGTTTGTTAAGGGCTAGCTGTTTCTGTAAAACATCTATCACACCCCAATACTCCAGGGTTTGTTTAGGGCTAGCTGTTTCTGTAAAACATCTATCACACCCCAATACTCCAGGGTTCTATCACACCCCAATACTCCAGGGTTTGTTTAGGGCTAGCTGTTTCTGTAAAACATCTATCACACCCCAATACTCCAGGGTTTGTTTAGGGCTAGCTGTTTCTGTAAAACATCTATCACACCCCAATACTCCAGGGTTTGTTTAGGGCTAGCTGTTTCTGTAAAACATCTATCACACCCCAATACTCCAGGGTTTGTTAAGGGCTAGCTGTTTCTGTAAAACATCTTTGTTTAGGGCTCACACCACACCCCAATACTCCAGGGTTTGTTTAGGGCTAGCTGTTTCTGTAAAACATCTATCACACCCCAATACTCCAGGGTTTGTTTAGGGCTAGCTGTTTCTGTAAAACATCTATCACACCCCAATACTCAGGGTTTGTTTAGGGCCCAGGGTTTGTTTAGGGCTAGCTGTTTCTGTAAAACATCTATCACACCCCAATACTCCAGGGTTTGTTTAGGGGTAGCTGTTTCTGTAAAACATCTATCACACCCCAATACTCCAGGGTTTGTTTAGGGGTAGCTGTTTCTGTAAAACACCTATCACACCCCAATTCTCCAGGGTTTGTTTAGGGCCAGCTGTTTCTGTAAAACATCTTTTACACCCTAATACTCCAGGGTTTGTTTAGGGCTAGCTGTTTCTGTAAAACATCTATCACACCCTAATACTCCAGGGTTTGTTTAGGGCCAGCTGTTTCTGTAAAACATCTATTACACCCTAATACTCCAGGGTTTGTTTAGGGATAGGGGTTGTTCCTGTAAAGCATTTGTCCCTATCCAAAATTCTAGGTATTGTTTAGGGGTAGCGGCTTTTCCAGTAAAATTTTTGTCCTAATCCCAGACTGTAGGTGTTCTTTAGGGGTAAGTGTTATTCCAGTGACAAATCTATTTCATTAGTCCATCCCCTGACTGTGAGTTTAAGTGTATGCTGGGTTTTTACAGGATGAATACAATAACTAGTTATATTCTACAGAAATAATTTAAAGTTCTAAAACAGTTGAAGAGACTGTGGATAAATTTAAAAGTGAAAATATTTTGTTACAACCATCTATGTGTATATTCTGTTCTATTTATTTCTGTTTTATTTATTATACAGGTATCAGTATATTAGTCCTGAACAAAAATGACTCGCCTAAAGTCTGGAGTTATAGGTGTATATTTCCGTTTGTGTGGACCTGTATGCTCGTCTGTCCTCTTTATCAGGTAAGTATGTCAAATACAGAGAAAACATGTGTTCTGACACTGGTCTAATCCAACAGATAGCTCTAAATTTCACTTTTTATGAAACTAACTATAAACGACACTGTCTCTCACAGGTTCCAGATTACAAAGGTTTTCTTTCATATACCAGAAATAATGAAGTTGTCTTGAATCTATAGAACATTTTCCGGTGTTTTTATCAATGTACTGTCGAAAATTCTTGATTTCATGATTCAGTTATCAAAACTGTACAGCCAGTAACAAGCAACACACTTGAAGGCTCCACAAGAGTTCTGTCCCTTGCTCTTAAATATCTCAACAATAGGCTAAAGATGGGAGTCATTTGCAGAGCTAAAATAGAAAAAAAAAAAAAAAAAAATGCAGTTTACCACAAAATACTGTAAACATACTCAGTTTGGCACAATCCAGTTTTAGTGTATCATTACTATTTGGCAAATTGATACAATGCCAATTTGTATGTTCTCATTAACTGTTATGTAAACACCAAACAGACAATTCAGTTAATTACAATTGCATTTTAGCATAATACTTCCTGTGCAAAATAAGATAACTGCTAATTAAATTTACATTTACAGTTAATGAAAACAGCTGCGGAAATAATTGTTTATAGTTCTTATAGTCCGGCTAAGTACTTAATTCACCAATAGGATAGATATGATTATTAGGTTCAGTGATGATAGATATTGTCTCTGTATTTACAATGATATAATTTCATCAAACGTCTTCAGCTGTTGGAATGGTTTTATATTTGTAGGCAGCCAAAGTGAACTCTGTGTGTAATGGTATAAAGAAGATCGCAGTGGAGATGAGAGTATTTGGGTACAAGGGATCATCTCAACTAGAACTTGACTCATTTCTGGGATTTGTGAGTCAAGTACGACTAAAGGTAAGTGGAAGGTCAGATAATCAAGGTCAGACTGGGAGATAGTCAAAGGTCAAAGAGGGAGGTGATCATAGTCAGAGGGGTCCAAGTCAAAGAGGGAGAGATAGTGATGATCAGAAGGAGAGAGTCAGGGAGAGATAAGAGGTGGTCAAGGTCAGAGAGGGAGAAATAGTCCTGGACAGGTGGAGGTAGTCAAGGTCAGAGGGGGATAGTCTAGGTCAGAGAAGGAGAGATAGTCATTGACAGACAGGAGATAGTTAAGGTAACAAGGAAGGGAGATAGTCAGTCACACAATGAAAGGGATATTGTGAAGGTTAGGGATAGAAAGTCAAGGTAAATAGGTAGGCAGGCTTGACAAAGGGAGTCTGTTGTGATCAAAGTGAGTGGTGAAGAAGGTCAAAGTCTGAGAGTAGATAAACAAGGTCAAAGGAGGGATAATCATAGTCAGAGTGGCACTTAGTCAAGATAAAAAGGTCAGATTATCATAGTCAATGAGGAACAAGGTCATTTTGGTTGATTATCAAGGTCAGATGATCAAGGATATAGAATTACAGTCAAGTTTAGAGGATTAACATTGTTAAAAGATATAAATAGTAAGATGGAAGAAAGAAGCCTTTTGATAAGGTTAAGGTTAGCAGGATGGATGATCAAGCTAGATGGTCATAAGTAATGAGAATTACTTATAGTTAATACTTCAGGTTAAATGTAGATTATCGTATAGGATGTTTATTATGGAGATTGGTTTACTTGTTTTATTTACATCTAATAATGTTTTTTGTCATTTGGAATGATTTTAATTTTCTTATTCTTATTTCTATTTTCAGGCTAAGATATTCAGCATACCAATCATGCCATCCTACCTCATCTCTATAATAGTGCTGACATCGTTCATCCTCCTCATCCTCTTCCAGACCAGCATCATCGGCCCCGTAAACTACTGGTTCTAACTGCAGTCACAGACATCATCGGCCCCGTAAACTACTGGTTCTAACTCAAGTCACAGACGTCATGGGCCCCATAAACTACTGGTTCTATCTCCAGTCACAGACATCATGGGCCCTGTAAACTACTGGTGCTATCTCCAGTCACAGACATCATGGGCCCCGTAAACTACTGGTGCTATCTCCAGTCACAGACATCATGGGCCCTGTAAACTACTGGTGCTATCTCCAGTCACAGACGTCATGGGCCCCGTAAACTACTGGTGCTATCTCCAGTCACAGGCATCATCGGCCCCGTAAACTACTGGTTCTAATTCAAGTCACAGACGTCATAGGCCCCGTAAACTACTGGCTCAAACTCCAGTCACAGACATCAGGGGCCCCGTAAACTACTGGTTCTAACTCAAGTCACAGACGTCATAGGCCCCGTAAACTACTGGTTCTATCTCCAGTCACAGACGTCATGGGCCCCATAAACTACTGGCTCAAACTCCAGTCACAGACATCATGGGCCCCGTAAACTACTGGTTCTATCTCCAGTCACAGACGTCATGGGCCCCGTAAACTACTGGTTCTAACTCAAGTCACAGACGTCATAGGCCCCGTAAACTACTGGTTCTAAATCCAGTCACAGACATCATCGACCTGGTAAACTACTGGATTTCACTCTAGTTATATCCTCAACATCATCGACCTTGTCAACTACTGGTTTTATCTCTTGTCCCGTCACAGAAAATCATCGGCCCTGCGAACAACCGGATTTTACTCTGGTCATGTCACAGATATCAATGGCCCTGCAAACTACTGGTGCTTACTCCTGGTCTTTCACAGACATCATCAGACCCTCATGGGCTCAAATTACTTGTTTTCATTTTTTTAAGTTATATTTCATTCACGTTTAATTTTGCCATGTCATTGTGATAAATTGAACCCCGTGACAATTGTTAAGAATTTTTGTTATAGCCCCTACTCTGACACTATGCATGCTTTCTGTACTCTGCTCTTAGAATTTGATCTTTGTGAAATTACAGCCATTGAGATTTCTTGTTTTTTTGTTTTGATAAATAAAAGCATACATCACATTTTACATATGTAAATAAATATTCAGAAATTATATACATAATACATTATTGAGAAATACATGAAAAACGTGAATATATCTAATACATTAACACAAAAATTGACAAATATGAAAAGATGTATATTTGATTCAGAGCCACTGAGATTTATGTTGTCCTTTGACACATCCCTATAAGATAAGAATGTAAGTTATATGTCCCAATGGCAATGAGATGTATTCCTCATTTGATTACAAAAAAAGGTTTTTTTATGTATATTGTTCACGTCGATGTGCTTTGATTGTCCCTATTCCTTGATGAATGAAAAATTCTGGACATTTCTGTTTTGTGTGTTTATGTCAAAATGGCATACATTTAGAATTATTTGAAAAATTTGACATGATTATGTATCAGTAATTAGGTTTATATTTCATTACTTATATTATTGTTATTTATTGACTGTTTTTCATCAAATTACCCCATGCCTGATAATAAGCCCACCCAAATTTAGTTAATTTTAGTTAAAAAAAAATGTCAGAAAATGCCATACCATGGGTTTGTAATAAGCCCAGACCATATGCAAGTCGGATAATATAATTGTTGGCCCAGTGGACCTATTGTCTGTTTAATAGAGTGCTGTTAATACCTTATTACTGTCTGATAGAATACAGTTCTTTGTGTTCATAGTTCTCTAAGTGGATGATCATGTGATATTCAAAATATTTTATGACTGTTGTTTTCTTATTCATAAGTGTTAAAAAATAAAACACATGGATACCTTGAATAGTATGATCTTGACTTTTAATTTTGGATGAAGTGTTGTGGAAGTGTGTACTCAAAGGATCCAATGGGATAGGTTTGAAAAAAAAAGAATGATGTTAAGGGTTTTGAATTTCATTTGTTGAGAACTGAAATAATGAACGTCTGATGAATTTATGTTCAGGAATCAACTTTAGATGTTGATTTGGAAAGAAATTTTAAGGACGAATACTCCTGTAATCAAGGGATTTGTGGTGTCTGACAAGGTATTGATACCGTGATGCTAATTACTTCAATTACTGATGAAACGGCGAGATATTATAATGGTTATCTCAATAACAGAGATCAGTGAAGAAAATGAGAAAATACATCTGTGAAGAAAGTATCCACAGAAAAGATAGGAAAAGAAGTCTTCCTCATGATATCTAAAAAGTTATAACAAGGTCCCTGTCAAAATCAGAAGTAAAAGAAGAAAAAGAGTTGGAGAAAATATCGATCTATTCCTTAGTTTTTGATGAAGAGAGAAGAAAAAATAAGAGGGGAAAGGATGAAAGGAAGAAAAGGTAACATCCAGTAGTTTTATTTTCTATTTATTTACTTTGAAGCTATAACCAGTCTTTTACAGTTCACAGTAGCAGAACTTTCAAGTTTCTCACACAATGCTTCCTTTGCCCTTGGCGAGTTACATACATGAGATAAAATATCATTCTCTTTTAGGGAATCTATCATTATTCCTATTCCAGAATACGGTATAAAGACAAGACTGACTTGTCCTATATCTGTGACGACCTGTGTTTGTAAAACATTAGAAAGAATTTTGTTTAAGTCGGACTAATCAAAGTTTCCAGAAGTACAATATCTAACACTTTCAAAAATAAAATAAATAAAAAAAAATAATAATAACAGCGATGCTGGTTGCCTTCGCTCACCGTCTTCTAAACAAAGGGACGTGTATTAAAGTTTCCGAGAGAAGGGGCGAGCCCCATACCCCAGAAAAAACATTGTTACTTGCCCCTGTGCAACAGAAGCGTTGCAAAAGACTTAAGTTTCCAAATTAAAAAAAAGGTAATGTATTTATGTATGTTATGGTGCAGTCGAACTATGTTTAAAACTGAAGTGGAGCTAAACCTAATCCAGTATGCGATTTAATTATAAAAGAAAATCAGTTTTCGATATGGTTTAAATCTACGCGTTACCACGAACATTTATTCCAGAAAACTCTGAAAGCTCTGAAAGTTGAATAGATATTGGTTTTAAAGTGATAAATCATTTTTCCGGATAACGCATCCTGTTATATTTTTCGATGGTCGTTTAAAAATGGAAAAGTTTCGAAAAAGAAATCTAGATATTGTATAACACAACTTGTCACATTTCGCGACCATTTTTCACGCCCGCCCTAAATATGTTTCTGTTACAAATGGCAAACTCAGTTAGAGTTACCTCCACTTTTACTACAGAGAAGACTTTTTGCCGAAAGCGAACGACTTCGTAACATCACTACATTACAGATGAACACGAAACAGACGAAACAGATGTCCGTTTATAGTCGCGTTGATGACCGATTATCAATAGACTTTGAAGAAAAGTTTTATGTTTACATATGTGTAACTTCTAGTATATCACTGAATACGGAACCCGCCTATACGTACACTAAAACACCTCTTTCATTATCAGCTTCGTACGAAAGTCACCCATACGCCTATACATTATATATTAACGCAACCACTAACACGATACTGCAAAATCCACAGATTTAGGTAATACTTTCCGAAAGATTTAGAATAAAATATACATATAAAGAACAGGAAAAATCAGGTTGTGAATCAAAGACAAAAACAGCAGTATATCGAGCTTGGCGTACTTTGTGGGGAACATTGTACCTTTCTCTGCTCTGAGTAATTAGCTTTGTGAAGAGGCCAGCCAGCCACAACGTCGGGTCCAAAAGGGGACATAATGGTGCATTATCTGTAGCCAGGAAACGGAAGAATCCCGCAAGGCTGGTGACAATGTATGTCGCGGTGATTCTCATCTCATTCATCTGCGCACACTGTTTATGTTCATTCAGATTTGTCCTTATCCTTTGCTCAGTGAGGTGAAAATAAACAAATTGAATTATCATCAGAGGTACAAATATACCACAAGCACTGTCTGCTTTCACTGTATGAATACTATATTTATCTTTTTACGTTAAGTATTTTATCTAATCTTTACGCACTGCAAACCATTAAGCAATATTGCGCACGTAACTCTTTTGAATGAAACACTATAACCATTTTAGAAAAAAATATGCTTATATGGAAAGAGAGTGGTTTGACCTGTGTTGTCAGACGTTTTAGAAGTATGATTTTGGCGGATAAAAGATTTACAACAGGGAAATCTAATAAATTGGTCAACACAATACCCCCATCGTAAGTCAATAGCGCGTCGTACGTCACGTCCGAAAGATTCGGGTCAGTAACTGAACTGGTGTTATTACGATTGAAGGAAGTGATCAACCAAAATACGGTTTATTCTTGTATATAATGTAATGAAATCGACATTTCAGGAAAATTTCACTCCAATCAATATAGCTCACACAACGCCACGTAAATATATCACTGAAGCACTAAAAACGCAAAATTACTGGAGTTGTTTTACTACGTCAAAGATCACAAAGTAATCTATAACGGGACTCGTGTGACTATGTTGATGATAAAGTCAACGGTGCAACACGTGCTTAAGTGTACTTGTATCAGATTGTGTAATTCTCCTGTTTGATGTTCAAGTTTCTGTTGAATTTCCGTGGTTTTGTTTTCTATTCTTTTTTGATATCGTTGTTTCTTTCGCCCTTTTTCTTTCCTGAGTTGATGTCTCAATTTCTGACTTTATTTCCCCTGTTGTTTTGTAATGTCTCAGTATATGTTGCCAGTTTTTCTGTTCTGTTGGTGTCTTTGTTTCTGTTGCCTTTCCTCTGTATTGATATATCATTATCTGTTGCCTTCTCCCCTCCCACTTGTTGTTTTGATGTACCAGTTTCTGTTGCCTTCTCCCCTCCCACTTGTTGTTTTGATGTACCAGTTTCTGTTGCCTACTCCCCTCCCACTCGTTGTTTTGATGTACCAGTTTCTGTTGCCTTCTCCACTCCCATTTGTTGTTTTGATGTACCAGTTTCTGTTGCCTTCTCCCCTCCCACTTGTTGTTTTGATGTACCAGTTTCTGTTGCCTTCTCCCCTCCCACTTGTTGTTTTGATGTACCAGTTTCTGTTGCCCTTCACCTTTTGTTGTTTTGATGAACCAGTTTCTGTTGCCTTCTCCCCTCCCATTTGTTGTTTTGATGTACCAGTTTCTGTTGCCTTC